ACTGAATTGCATTCCTTAATACTTCCCACGTTGTGAAACAGATCCCGCGTAAATTATAAGACTATCGAAATTTGTTAGTTTAACAAAATATTGTTGTATTGCACTTTTATTTTCTCTGTCGATGACAAATATTAATACTACCATAGATACATAATCCTTGTTTTTTTTCTTAACGAAATCTATAAAAATGCAAGTTTATCTTCAATAAGCACAACATAAATTATAAGACTATCGAAATTTGTTAGTTTAACAAAATATTGTTGTATTGCACTTTCATTTTCTCTGTCGATGACAAATATTAATACTACCATAGGTACATAATCCTTTTTCTTTTTCTTAACGAAATCTATAAAATTGCAAGTTTATCTTTAATAAGCACGTTTAGAAAATACCGGTATAATACCGGTATTTACGTGTCGGTAGAAGCCCCTGGTCTAGACAGGACTAGTCTGTAGCAACGTGCCCCGTAGTTCAATGGGATTCACGTGCCCGAGGGCAAGCAGCAGACGGCGCAAACGTGGCGTGTACCTACTCGCCGTGTCTCTGCGCTCTTCAGCGTGCGGTTGCCGCAGCACGCCGAGCACGAGGCAACGACTGCTGACCCGTCCTATTGATCGACCTGGATCCGCAGTTCGCCTCTATCCGATTGCGCGGCTCGGGGATGGTGGCGCTTCCGAGGCACCGTGCCGCGCGCGACGCTTTTGCCCGACGCTTAAACGCTGGTGTAGTTGCGACCAACACTGCACCTGCTCACGCCGCATCGTCGTTTGCTCCTACACCCTATCGTGGATTCGTCCACCGCCATGCTGGTGGTGCAGTGAACCGAGGGAACTTGTGAGAAACACCGAGAAACTGATATCTGTGCGAATATTTCGTGACTCGAGGAACTGCCACGGGGTTGCGTATTCGTGTTACAATCATCCCCTATTTCATCGTTGAATCTTGGTCAGAACGCTCGGTTATTCAGGATCTCTTCCCTATGTGCTGTGTAGGTATCGAGGGTGTAATCGACGTTTGAAATTTCTTCTTTAGATACGGGTTTAGTTATTGTCACAGACGTGCCTTCGGCTGTTTCATTGTGAAGCACTGGAAGTGTAGAGTAATTTTTGTGGTGTCAGATGACAGGTCTGAGAGATACGGCTGTGTATGTATCGAGGGTATAATCGACGTTTGAAATTTCTTCTTTAGACACGGGTTTAGTTATTGTCACAGACGTGCCTTCAGTTGTTTCATTGTGGGAGCACTGGAAGTGTAGAGTAATTTTTGTGGTGTTAGATGACAGGTCTGAGAGATACGGAACAGAGTGTCTTTAAGTCAGTGAAATCGTGTGCACGTTTGTTTTATATACCACTGTGTCTGTGATTCGTTTCCTTCTTCGGGTAAAATTAGCACCAATCTAGACGGTTTCAGGTTCTGGTCGTAATTGGTTCGTTAGTTTGTTGTCCTTGTTTCCTGTTTCGTTGCCTTCTGTCTTGTCGTTCATACTTGATATATGGGTTTGTTGGGGCAATTATTGCATCTTGATTAGTGGTGGATTTAATGAGAATCTGAAGAATTGGAATGGTGTTTGATGTGCTCGTTGTTTGTTGGGTGTAATAGTGAGTAGACTGTCAATGTTTGTGGAAACTCACTGTGTTAGACACTATATTAAAATAAAAATTGAATTGATATTTATTTCCTGTATCAAAGGTTTTTAATATGTTTAATAACGATACACAGATAGTATTCAACTTCAGTAGCAGCTTTATTTAAAATTTTTTGTAGGTTATGAGATACTGTAAACGCGTAAACATTCGCAGTCTACTAATGTGTAATCGACTATCTTCTTCACGATGTGGTTGTTTACAATAATTGAAATTAGAATGATTAAATGAATTTTTGAATGGAAAAGTAGTGTTGAACATGGAAGAATGATAACAACTACTGCTAACTGACGACGAGTTCCTTAATTTCGTTCAAAATAAACAGTGAATGTGCTTGACTAACAATACACCTTATATAGAATTTTTCTAATAATTTTCATTATTAATATTTCATTTCGTTAATCGAGCACACGGGAGAGTGTATTTTATACATTATGAAAGTAACTTTACGGACACGACTGTGTGTCTGACCACTGCGGAATTATCTACTGGATTGCATTCCTTAATACTTCCCACGTTGTCGTGAAACAGATCCCACATAAATTATAACACTCTATCGAAATTTGTTAGTTTAACAAAATATTGTTGTATTGAACTTTTATTTTCTGTGTCGATGACAAATAGTGATACTACCATAGATACATAATCCTTGTTTTTTTTTAACGAAATCTATAAAAATGCAAGTTTATTTTTAATAAGCACGTTTGGAATTGTATTAAAATCATTGACTAAAGCAATGAAGGTGCTTACGTGTCTGACACACGTGTGTATAGTTGTATGTAGTCATTTTTGTTCACAGTGCTATGTCGCCGGAAAATAAATTTATATTTGTAACATAAATCATCACTGTAAATATACCTAGCTACCTTTTCAAATTTACATATTCAAAGAGAATCATCGACTTCCAATTTCGAAATTTCGTACGAAACCAGGTACGATGAATTGAGCAACAGGTGTTCAAATTTGAGATATTATTATGTTCCCCTCTTAATGGAATATTTGTTGCAAATAGATATTATAGATAGTCTACAGTATTCAATTGCACTTTAATTAATTTATAGAGTGTCAAAGCGGTCAATAACTGTAATTTTTGAAAACCTCGATTATTTCTTTTCACAATTCTCTATTCTCTATACGTTTGTACAGAAACTTTGTCACGCATTATATCACGTTGGATGTCCTCAACGAGTACTCTACATGATGCATCTCATATATCAAGAGCCCATTTTCATCTTCTTCGTTGTGCAAACATTTATATGCGCGATAGCGAGCCGTTTTATTGATCGTCATACATATTGTCCCGTCGATCAATCGTCAGATTGCTCTCGCTCGAGATCCGAGGCATTATGCGAAATTGTGTTCTATACGAACACTGGGGCAATATAAACGTACGGTGACATAAGACTTACTGGAATATGGATAAAAATATAGACAGCACGTGTTCTATTCTACGATTTGTTCAGCTACACGAGGCTACTTTTCTTTAGCCTGTAAACTAAAGAAGATGAGTTCATCTGTCATTCTTATTCAAAAGATAATTTTTGCATTGTTTGGTAGTTTTTTTTAACTGTACAAATATACTGGAATTCTCTGCTCCAATGAAATAGTTTCTTTGAATTTTCAACGGATTTCAAATTTCAAACGACTAAAAATAGTCACAATTGTGTTTTTTTTGTGACTATTTTTGGTTTCCATTATATTCATATAATTATTATTCATCACTAGACTCTGGATTTTATGCATTTATATCCTATAAAGGTCTGAAAACGATAATGAAAGACAAAACTTTTACCAATTATTGGAACCCAATATGATACTTAAGAGAAGAAATTCTTAAATTTACTCTTGTCTTTATAAATTACTTAAGAAAACATCATTTTGCATAGAAATCTTCAGTCTATTTGTAAGTTACTTACGCAAACATATTAAAATACACTGAAATTCTCTACTGCAATGAAATAATTTGTTTTATTAATTTTTCGACGAAGAAAGTTTTCGATCTCACCACGTGAACCTAAAACGGTTCGAAACAATTATAATCACGTCAGTTTTGTGCCGCGCCTAACGAGACCATTTATGTCACGTTCAATTAAAGCGTATTGTGGACTTCTTGCCTTTTTTTCCTCTATTTTGGGTAACGTCGACAGTTTCGTCGAGCATGAAATTAGCATGCAGCATCAGGAATCAGCGGTGAATCATGCAAATTTGACCATCCCGTCGTGGATTTTCCTCGAATTTTATTGTTTAACCCTTAAATGCATGATTTTTCCAAATACAATCAAACATTTTGAAATTGCTAATTTATGTGCCATAATATCATGGAAAAATAATTTACAAAATCCATTTCATTTTTTAACATTACTTATAAACAAATTAATTATTCTGAAAATTTCTGAAACAGTTCTGATTTCTGTTTAAATATAGTGCAACATCACACTTTTCGTATTTTTTATGTATAAAGCCTTTGGTACTTACAATTAACTTGCTTTTGCTCTATATATTTCTTGTCATCAGTCTATTTGTAGAAAGACGCTCCATCCAATAGGTCACTTCTGGCACTTTTGTGATAATTAATACTCCTTTCACCTTTGACATTAAGAAATAATATTTCGGCGATATATGGCTCCTATTTAACAAAGTTTTGCCGGTACTGCTATATGGATAAAAATATACATAGACACCACGTGTTCTATTCTACGATCTGTTTAGGTAAACGAGGCAACTTTTCTTTCGTCTTGTAAACTAAAGATGACCAGTTGATCCGTCATTCTCATTCAAATGATAATTTTTTCATTGTTTGCTAGTTTTATATAAAACGTTCGAATATATCATGCAGCAGTAGTTGTTTGTGTCTGTTACAAAAGAAAATATAGGTATATTGACAAATGGCAACACTATGCATTTAAGGGTTAAATATTCTTCAAAAATTCTTCTCTTTTTGACTTCTTTTAGGATCGTCCGTCTTCTCCCTTGAATCTTGTCCCTGTAATTTCTTTTAGGATCGTTTGTCTCCTCCCTCGAATCTTCTCACCTGAACTTCTTTCAGGATCGTCCTCCTCCTCCTCGAATCTTCTCGCTTGAACTTCTTTCAGGATCGTCCGCCACCTTCGTCGAGAACGGCGACATAAGATCGAGGAGAGGTGTCGCGGTGCTCTCGGACGCGTCACGTGTCCCACAGGAATATGAAATCGCGACGTTGCACTGGAAACTGCTCGCACTGGGACAGTCGTCTCTCGTCCATTGCGGTGTGTCGCTGAGACGAAAGAAATTGCAACGTGTTACAATAAAGAGAACCGGTGTCATTTATCCCGCTGGGTAGTCGTTGTTTTCTGTACGCTGCGGGGAACAGGAATCTTCGCCATTGTCTCCTGAGGTATGACGATGATTTTTCTTCTTTTAGATGTACGCTTGCGATTTAGTATTTCCGCTTCATTAAGACCTTTCCGTTTTAAGCCTTTCGGTTTTTTCAAACTGTGTCAATTGATGCACATTGCTCCACAGTTTCTACATATTTTTATTTTATTTTGTTACATGTTTTACATATTTAACGCTAGTATGCCAAATTCGTCAAAATGACGGATTCCAGGCTTCTTATTTTACGATCACTGAATTTGTAACATTGGTAAGGTGACCAGATGTTTTACGTTGCAATGCGGGACGTATCCAAAGAAAAAGTTAATACATTTTGGAAATATTATTTTCATAGTCTATTTAATTGTGCGTCATTAAAATGTGTTGGATCTATCTTTTTATGTGTTTATTCATATAAAATTTACAAAAAGAACATAATTTTGATAAATTATACAGATACATTAATATAAAATACCTAAACTGTTTTTTTCTAACAAAAAATCAACTACATCCAAAATAACTGTCTCAATATCAAAAATGACTAAACTATCTGACATAGGAACTATAACAATTTAAAGAATAATGTGTAATAATTTTTTTTAAATGTTAAAAATGTTATATATCCAATCCAGAACACTTTAACGGACAGTTTTCAATGTGGGACAGTTTCGTTTAATTTGGGACGTTTGGTCACTTTACTTTTGGGAGAATTTATGTTCATTTCTAATTTACTGTCGATTTCATGTTATTCTATATTATGCTAAATTATACCATGTAGTACATACCTATATATTATATGTATATATTACTATATTATACAGTTTCATTTATTATACATTCAATGCTGGTAGTTTTAGTGTTAATCAACGATGAAGTTAGAAATACTAATTAAATGTAGTATATTGTTAATATACCTTAGATTAGGATGCATTCAATTGAAAAATTACATATAGGGTTCTTGAAAAGTTATTGTAGCCAGTAAAAGTAAGATAAAAACACGTGCAAAATTACATAAAACAAATTTATTTATAATAAATTAATACTTCGTTGGACAACTCGGTGATCTAATCTTATTATAAGTTTTAATTTGAGACGCACAAATTAAACTCGTTTTCTTGTGGAATTCCATGTGTACTTTTTCTGCTACCTTCAGAAATAGTTTTCAAGGTGAACTCGGTATAATTTGTAAATTGAACGCATTCTAATATAAAGTGTATTAATCAAGGTTCATACTAATATAATTGAAATAAACTGTCGTGATTGGCATTTGTATGGATCTATGCAAATTTCATCGTTTTCCACCCATTTAGTAATTTCATTATTGGTAAACAAAAGGTTCTAGAACTACTTTGAACCAGTATTAAAAAAATACACACTAATTTTGTGTGAAGTTTTTTATCTCTTCAAATAACACGTTCATAGGATATTGCATATTAATTAAAGTTTTTGAATGGGCTTAAACAAGTATTTTGTTGTTTCTCTGGGAATGTAGATAACATTATCAAGTCTGATAGTTACGTATATGTCATGTCTCATGAGTCAACCACCAGAAATAACTATTTTATCTGTTTCTGCACATTTCTTAGGAAACTGACTGCTTGATCTAATGTATCATTTACAATTTCTGTAAACACAAAATGCAAGACGTAAAGGAAACTATCACAATTGAAAGATAGTTTAACGGAAGACTGAAGAATCAATTAGAATAATGAATTACAGTAAGGTAAACGTACCAATGAATGAACACTTAAGAGAATTTTGTACTTACTAAAGCCAAATTTTAAATGCTAATAATATTAATAAATATTAGCCACATGAAAATTACACTAATAACTATACCTTTTAATACCGTATAATATCAACTTGAATATTGTAATTAATTAAGTTAAAAAGAAGAAATGCAAATTTCACCACTGAACGAACAATATTAACCAGTAAATAAGTTTGTAACCAGTGGCGCGAAAATTGTTTGAATATGAAACAAGGAATTGAAAACATCAATATTTTAAACATTTGCTTACTTTAATAACGTAATTTACTCCTTGTTATATATAATGTTCATTCATTGGCACGTGTTCATTTACCGACGTATTCACCCCACTGAAAAAAAAATAAATAAAAGAAAAAAATATTTGTCTCCTAGTCTTGATAAATTTGTCCCTGCGTGGTCAAAATGAAAAGAAAAAAAGCATCGAAATCAGTAATAAGCTCGCTTATTTGTACGTTCTGGTACGCTTCTCGTCATTTCGACGTAAACTCCAGGGACTACTTTACCCCAGGAGCCATTTTCCGTCCGTTGCATATTTTAACTTAGGTCCGGAGTGACTGCGTGCCCCCTCAATGTTTATCGCGACAGCTTTATTTTCGCGAAAGGAATTCTTAAAACGCACGCAAATCCTTCTCTACTTTACATACAACAAACCTCCAGTCACGCGTTTGATTGATTTAAACAAACGTTGCGTGCAGGTTTCATAAGTTTCGCATCAACGATCGCGACTCATGGCAACTCGAGCCCCGGCCAGGCTTCAGAATAAATCACTCCCGAAATAAACAATCGGGCAAGGAAACCCTAGCGCGGAATGCAAATCGGAATCCCTTTTAACGGATTGAACGCTTAACGTCGTATCGCCATCGTCAAGTACTTTCATCACCCTATGGGCAAACAACACACTCCGTCTGTTGGATCGATGTAACGCGGAACAAAAGACGCGAGTCGAAGACTGTGTACATATTCTTCTAAGCCAATAGATATATGCATTAGACGTACATACCAATAAGTAACCCGTTATTTATTAATGGAAACAGAATTTGATTCTCTGAAAATTGAGGATTTATACACTGTGTAGAATAACTATAAAAGCACCTTAAAAATTTGAATTCGTATGTATTGTGGTTAAAATAAAAACGAAATAGGTATGCCATCTCTGAAGTCCTGTTAAGAAATAAAGTTTTTTCAAAAAAGGTTAGATTATATTCCCTAGTTTATATAACAAATATATAAGGATTGAAAATTTTAGGGTGGTTTTATAATTATGCCACGCATTGGATATTGGGTTGGCCTAAAAGTAATTCTTGCTTACTGTATAAGTTCTGTAGTCCCCTGCAACTTAAGCTGCTTTGGCTTTACATTAGAAAATTCTTTTTTCACACAACTATCTTCCAATTATTTACCATTTTTTTTCAATTTACTTACTGAATGATTCTTGAATTTAATATAAATTCGGAACGATATTTGAATTAAATCTCAATAAATCGTGTCAAATAATTTTCCCCCAATTTTTAACTGTTACTATGATGTTCATGACCGAAGCAGAGTAGGGTGTGATAGTCATAAGAATAATTTATCGATTCAAATTCAATATAGACAATATGAATCTTCTGAGGAAGATTTTCAAATCGTTCCAAGTTCTGTGCGAAATTCGTTACGGTACTATCTTCTTCGTATTTTCTGAATTTATAGGCCAAGTCTTCGAATGACATTGAAGTAGACGAAATTATAGAAACACGGAATGGGAACATGCGGTATTTTGTTGGCTCAGCTGTTTGCCGCACCGTTGCTTTTGCCGCAAGATCGCGTCAAGAGCAGAATCTACTAATCCGATTATTGCCCCTCCGAGTTATAGCTGAAACGTCTCGATTATCTGGATCCGGGGACAACTTACTTCCAGTAATCGATAATTAAAGTGCCTGTTTATCTAAACGGAAGCTTGGAGTAGGGGGTGGAACTTGGGGTCTTTGGATTGCGTGTTCAGGTAACCGTTGATAATACGTTTGGACGATTAATGACTTGACTGAATTGAGATTTATGTTGATACTTACAGTTGAAACCTTACAGAAGAGAATCACATAAATTTATAGAACATATAATTCGATGACATTAATGGAACCATAGAAACGAGAATTACGTAATTAAATTCACAGAATGTGTAATTGGTTACGATTAACATTATAACTACTAGAATTTAATGTATGCTGAGTTAAATTGTGTAATATATTAATAGGTGTAATATATAATACAATATAACTTAGTATACTATAATATAAAGTGTATATGCAATTAGAGGTTAACATAAATTCCAATAAAAGGGGAACTAGGATTTCAGTAATTGTAAAATAAAAAATCTGAAATCAGTCATTTTGACGGGTTCGGTAGTTCTAGTGTTGATGGGGAAGTAAAGCGAAGGGTGTCAGTTCTAATCTCGTATTTTATAGGATAATATTATCGAACGGATTTGTGAACTTAAATATAGTTCATATATAGTTGTGAATGGAACATTATAACACCAAGAAGAATTAAATTAAATCGAATAGGAACTATTCGTCTGCCATTTTGTGTCAATTGAACAGTGTAACGGTTGAAATGTTACTTTTATTATTTTGTATTTTTGAGTGCTGTAATTGTCATGCCCAGCCGAATGTTTAACCGAATACATTATAATTATTCATTCGATACACTATCGAGCAATTTTGTCTTCCACCATAATTTTATTTTGGATTTTCATCGTGTAAAATGATTTTCTTTCGTTCTTCGTGTATTTTTTACACTAGATAAATATTATAAAAGATTCGAATTTGCAGTCAGTTAAACATTTTCATCCAGGAACATATTCTTACTGACCTTTTGTTTGGCTGCGTAACGCATAGATACATCCGAAATATTGATTTTCTAAAAAAGGCGACTCTATTTCAGCTCTAATACACTTTGACCTCTGATTACGTTCCCCCGTGTATAATTAAAAGCGACCGATGGTACGTGAACAGTAATTGACGATGTAGAATAGTGTCAAATCAAAGATTTCTAAATTGGTGCCGAATAAATGGCCTATTAACGACTAACATTCTCTTCGTTACAATTGTAAAATGAGTAAAAATTTCTTGTATAATTTTCATTGAATGACAAAAATTAGAGTCTCTAAAAATTCAATTACAGTCAACAGTATTTTTATCCATCTATGCATACTATTAGTTGTAATAAGTAATCCACTGTTTCTTTTTAATAAACTAGTTAACATTGTGGAAATTTAAGACATCTTTCTACGCTGTTCTTCTTTCAAAATGATGATGAACATTGAAGAATGAGGATAAATATCACTGAGGTAGCCATAGGCTTCTGATTTTCTCGAAAATAAGTATTGAATATGACAAAATACATATAACAGATTACTTATTGATATATCTTATATACAGGCTGCTTCCGAAATGGAATTACAACCCGAAAGGATGTGATTCTACATACAAAAATAGGTCCAAACTATAGAATAACATATTTTCGTACAATGCTTCGTTTCCAAAATAATCAATTTTTAAAATTCATCCAACGTGTATGTATTCATGGTGACATAAGTAGAAACAGAATGCAATGAACAGAGGCGTTATCGAAGACCTATTGAATTGCATGCATATCCAGCAGATATTCAACTTCGATGTTCTTGAAAACGAAGCATCGTAAGAAAAAATGTTATTCTACATTTTCGACTTATTTTTGCATGTAGAATAACATACTTCCGGGTTGGAACATCATTTCTGAGACATCCTGAATAGATATGAATGGTGATCGGCCATTTATTTTCAATCGAACTTAATTGTATTATATTAAAGACTCGTATAAGTTTCAATTGTTTTTTTCATAATACTGTTCGACTACAAGGTCTGATGCTTCTAATTGCAGCCGCTTGTTTGCCGAGCGAATGCATCCGGCGTGCATTCTTACTTTAAGGGTGAACTCGTGACACGGCATGGGGCTGAATAAGAAGTAAGAAGAAGTCAGGGAAAAACATGGGGACGAATCACTTGATAGTGGGTGAGTATCGAGAGTAACCATTTATTTTTCGATACTCTGACCTCCGATCGAATATTTTGCAAGTAAATATCGTTTATTATTCGTGTTTTATCTATGGCGATTTCGAGGGAGTCCCAGAAACGTTGAACTTTCATGCGAGCACAACCACAGATATTTCTGTGCGGACCTGAACGAAGATACATTATTGTGATTCGTTGCATTATGATGCAATTCTACCCCTACTATTAGTAGACTGCAGATATTTACGCAAATATAGAATTTTGTGCATTAGTTTCTCGAAGCTGGACACAAAGAAAAATTCATTTTATTTAGGGTATTGGTAGGTTTGCAGTAAAAAGAAAACCTGAATAAATTTCCCGGAACTTCTTAGTATACTGAAAATTAGACGATAGAATATTCCATACGTGCACGTAATCTGCAGTTCAATTAATACTTTCGTGATTATTCGTAATTAACTCGGCTACGAATTTTTATACAGGTGCACTATAAAAGGTGTAAAACCCTAACGGAAAATAAAGTCTTAATCAAAACCAATGCAATTTTTATTTTCATCGTTAAATTAACAGATACTTTGATTGATAAAACAAAATTTTGTAATTTTGGTTTTTCTGTAACAATGGGTATTTTTATAAACATCTGCAGTCTAGTAAGTGAAATTAAATAATGATTTTTTCATCTTTTAGTTGTCACTATTTTCCTTTTTAACTTTTTGCTAGAGACAGAGTGTTGTTGCTTGTAATATAAGTGTGGAAGTAGAGATGTGTTTAAATGATACAGTATGATCATTTATTTATTACAACTTCTGTTTGAACGTTGGTAGCAGGAAATATTGGCTAATGTATCTTCGTTCGAATCATGCTGCATCCAGCAACGATAGTGGTAGGCTATATGTATATTATCTATAAATACGCCAGCAATATATTTAAAAAGTTATAGTCTTTAGTGAATTAACATTAACGAATATTTAAAGAACATTCCCCCTTTATTAGTTCGCAAACTTTTAGCTTCATCTCGAAATAATAATTATGGACGATAATATTCTGCAAAATACAGGACAAGAATGTTATAAAGAAAGTATTTAAATAGGAGGATACTCTGGAATCCATTTTTTTAACAACGCATACATTAAATAAATATACAGCGTCAGAAAAAAAAGTATTCACGCACAGTTGTTAAATATAATTACATTTAATTTTGCAGAAATATCACTATTAAACTCAAAAGTAGAACGTGAATACAATATCACGATGGAAATTAAAATATCGTGAAGTTTAAACCGATTCCAATTTAAAGTATATCATTTTGTAAAACAATATACATATATTGAAAGAAATTACTTGACAATAATTTGTACCGAATACAAAAATTTACCGATCTCACTTTCTCAGTTCTTACACGTGTTGAAGTGTGAAATCGGCGGCCATTTTGTCATCAACGAAACCCCGCGAACGCAAAAAATCGATTTACTCCCTTAGAATTCTTAAGAATCATAGATCTTCTTTACGTAGATCTTCCTTAAGATCGATCTATTAGGCACACGTACGATCGCAGTATACGAGGTACGTACGAACAAGCTTCTAAGATCGATAGAACCATCAAAGATCCGGACCATAGATCATGATTTTCTTATTAACTAATAACCATTTCCCACACATGCCACGACAAATACACGCTGCGTACTGAAAGGTATGAATAGAAGTGTATTCGCCTGGGGGTACTTTGCAGAATCAATAATCTTAACAAGAGATTCTAGAATTATGTAAGAATCTTCGCGCGATCGACACTCATGCGTGCCGCGGCGCCATATTTACGAACTTAAAATGGAATTCTAAATCGTGCAACTCAGAACTTGGAAGCTGAAAATTTAATCGGACTATCTTCTTTGGGGAAAAATGGGGGAAGGAGGGGTTTGGAGAAAACATGCTTGCAGGGTTGATTATATAATAAAGAAGAACCAAGTGGATCCGACCCATAAGTTGTGTAACAATGACCTATTCTACTTTCGCAAGTTGCAGTCTCAGCGATCGCCATTGTAACCTTCAAGATAAACGAATTTATATTTTTACATACGTGAAAATTATAGTTATCTTTACGTATCACGAGTATAATATTTGATGATTCGAAGATTTAGATATCTCGTTTGGCGTAGAATCACATAGCAGAATTTTTAATTGGGATCAAGGTTCTACTAAACGATTGCTATGAGGTAGGTAAATGAGATCATCTAAAAATAACCTCCGGGAATAATAGTTAAATAATGGAAATAATTATCATTATTAAACGGTCTTGGTATCGTTTGGGTATGAAGGTATAAGGCCCATATTTGTATTTAATCGTGATTAATCTTCCTACGACGGTGTCTGGGTCCATTCTAACCCAAGATTCTAGAACCTTCACGCACCATTACAGTTTATACAAAAATGTTGGAGAGCCCTGAAATGGGAGACTCGTGAGGTGATTTGAAACAAATATTTCCTTAGCAAAAATGTTATGCGAGACTTTCTTAACGAGATATTAACAAAAAATCTCGACCAATCAGAGCGCGAGTCAGTTTTGTTAAAGAAAAACTTGTTTTAAATCACCTCACGAGTTTCTCATTTCCGGGTCCTACAACATTTTTGTTATACCCTGTATAAAAATAACAGAATATTATAAAGAAATTCGTTCCACATCCAAAGACAGATCACTAGGGGTCTATTTGGACCCAGGTACTGCCGTCTATTCGATCGTCAAAAAAGTCCGTCTTCCGAAGGTTAAATTTATTTAAATTGCAATTACGACCACAAATCCATCGCAATTGCGAGGACAGTAGCAGTAGGAAGAATAGTTGTAGTTTTAGCAAAGTGCACCTACTTTTCGTTGTTGTTCATGATTATCGTTTCGTAGCCATTCGAATTATCACCGCAATGGTAGCCATCCTCTAAAGCAATGACCCGATGTTTCGTTTCAGCGGCAATTGTACTCGCGGTTGCCACCGTCTGTCGGGCGGAGTGCCAGAGTGAGTGATCAAGCCAGCTTCTCTTCAGTGTCCTTGTTGTCACCGTTGTCTGTCAACGTTATACAGAAGGCTTACATCATACGGACTCGATTTATTTTTATCTATTAATTCCGTGAACGAAACTTGCATCCTTTTATTTTCATCACTTCCGCTAACAATAATCTCACGAACTTTGAACACACAGTTTTAAAATATAAAACATACGATTACCTTGAATCTTTTTGTATCGATATTTACCGTAAATTTTTGTTTATTTTGTAAATATTTTTCTATTAACTGGATGAAACGATTGAACTCAAGAATATTTCTTATCCTATGTCGAAGTGTTCTTGCGAGAGTTTTTTGCAATTTTTTCTCTCCTTTTATCGATACTTTAGCCCCGAGAACAAATTCTCTTCATTCTGATGGTGTTTTACAGCTCGTTCCGTTTACTGCTACGAATGCGACTCGTGGACGGATCTAAGATGTAAGGATCCATTCAATTACACCGCGCTTCCGAGGGATCAGCCGCCATTGATGACCTGCAATGGCTGCTGCGTGAAAATGGTTCGAAACGCGAAGTCACGTGAGTACCCATTTCGAACCATTCGCTATCGCTGGATTTGGCAAAGGTATATAATCGCGTAAATAAAATATCATATGAATGTAAATCATTATTGGAAGAATCCATCGAAATTAAAAGTAAACGAAGTCTTGAACACTTTAACACGCTCGCTGTCAATGTGATTTTGTCGTGTCGATTGGCTACTAAATTAACGGGTTGGGGCCATCGAAGTTGAACGTTGATTATAATTAAAATAATGATATGACTTCGTTGAACGTGGAGGTCGAGTGTATGTCGATAAGAATACCAATCGATAGGACACGTGACACGTCCTGCATGATTTTCTCGTGGCAGGAAACGTGTTAAACCTCTGCACAACAAAAAAGATTCCGACACTGTACAGGCATCGTCGTTATTCTATTAACTAAAGAAGATATCAGAAGTCATTCTATATACTTTAATCTTTAAAGGTATTACCGTGTATATACACGGTGAGATTCTCGGAACGCATTACAACTTGCAGAATACACTACCGTCCATAAGTATGAAAGCAGAATTCATGATCGATAAAACAGTTATTTTCCAAGAATTTTTATATAAACCGTTTTTGATCAGCTTTAGTGCATTACTTTCATTGAATCTTTGTGGAGTAACATGTTTCTCCTTCATTAATTATTCCACCTAGTCCCATAGTTTCGTATGGTACTGTAATTTCCCATTTCAATTGTCACACCTTGTATATGTTTACATAACACATTAGGACAGCACACAAAGTCTCCATAAAGTACTCACAGGTATCTATGCACTTGTTTTACTTTTTGTCACTGATATATTACACAAATACAGGGTATCAGGTGAGACATACGTAAAGTTGGAAGCTGAGAAGATGGCGGTCGGTTCTCATTGGCTGTTGTAGTACAGCGGAATAACCCCCCGTACCGACTTCTCAGCTCCATACAGTAGGTACCTATAAACGTCTAAAAGAAACATTGTTATGGAGTAAATATACATATAAATAAAAAACAGCAACACATCGAGGAATACAGTACGTATGTTTTCGAGGAATATTTTGAGTTGATCTGCTTGTTGATTCGCTAAAGGCGTCGGTCTCTGTCGCCCGAGCATACAGAGAGCAAAATTGATCACTCACCTGTCGAATCCCGCGACACAATAACATTCACCGATCCAACAGGCTCGCGGGGATATTAATAATTATCTCTTGTTCCAGCGTACGAGAGCGTGAGGCGAACCTGCACGTCGCAGCTACAGATAAATTTATTCATGGTGGACCACGTGTGCATGATGGAAAGTACCGGCACTGGTCACATGTGCTTCTGTGAGGAGGATATGTGCAATCGTGTATCCCCGACCTCGTGTTCGAATCCCGTACTCCTGCTGATCCTGTCGACCCTCCTTGTACTGCGCTCGGTGGTCTTAGGGGGCCCAGCTTGCTTTGTAGAACGTTGCAACGGTCACGTCGTATAACACTGATTTACACGACCTCACCACCCACCGCCACCCATCAGTGGTTTCGAATTCATATCCCTCTTAGACACATAGTTTTTACCCGACGACACGGCCTGTCCAATCGGGACGAGCGATTTTCTATGTGATCCCATGTGTGTTGTATGTACACATGAACGAAAACTCCCCAAAAAAACTGTTACTTTCTGTGACGATAGACATCCAGATAGCATATGATGCCCAAATACGCCTTGAAGACGGCTTAAAGGCGCCTTAGACCTAAAATGGCCCTAAAATAGGCGTCTTTAAGACGTCATCTGCTATTTGGGAAGTGAGAGGTTAAAGTTTTTGTTGTTTCGCAGAGAAGAGAATTGGCGAATGAATGCCCCTAGCGACGAAGTTTGGTACTAGAGGCGACAGTGGCGCCACACGGCGTCTACGAGCCGAACGATTCTCTTCTTTGCCTGGGGAGTTGTTACAGTTTCTGTATCGCTCATCCCGATCTAGTCTCTCGATTTCTTCGGCGTAGATAGTAACGAGAGATCCTGGACCGTGTTCTGTGTAGACAAATCATTCGTCTCTCTATCACTCTCACGATTTTATCACGAGCCATTGTTTTTTTCATTCGTTGGTGGCTACCCCGAACGGGCACTGTTTCTGTAATCAGTTTTTCGTAGACATGTGCACTGGAAAGAGAAGTTTCTGTTTGTCCCCCTGTCCAGACGTGCACCTCATGCCTGTGAAGTTCGTAGTCGAGCTTTTGGTGTGTCTTGCACGAAGCTTCTTTCAAGCCCATGCGGTTCACAATAGGCGATAATATCGAAACTTTGCGGGTAGTCTGTTTGAAGATGATCGTAACAAAGACTCTGTTTCTAGTTTGGTATTTATGATAGTTTTCAGACCTGTACACGCAGGGAAAATTTGTTATGTCCTGAACCGAGAGGGCTTGAACGACTTGAATTCCTTTTTTCAATGGGTATGACCAAAGAAAGTCTTAAATGCTGAAGCTTAAGTATTGAAATCAATATTAGAAGGTTATCAATTTTGATTTACCGGGGAAGATCTGTTTTAAATGGTACAGTTCAGACGTACAATTTCAATTTGATCGAAGGTACGAAATAATTTCTTTGGCTAAATGGTTCTTGCATGAAATCAACTTTTACTTATTCGTTAACCTCCTTGTGTACTCTTGTATTCGTTGCATCTTCGGTTTTCATCGCCATGCCAACGATTCTAAGCACCTTCTTCGAAACTATCATATGCATTTTGGTGAACGTTTAGAGTGTAGCGTCATCGAATAGAGGTGCTCTTGATACCTAGTGAAGTTTAGAACACGCATCGTACCGACTCGTTGGAATGTTTTCTCGTTAAGAATTTCTCGCTTGACGTTCACCTTCGCATCCAGAACCGCCGTGTTTCTCCGTACGACCATAGATCACGAGACCACGTGAACGTAGGTATAATACTCGCAGAAACGTAGTTCGATCGTTGCAAGACCTTAGGCGTCAGTGTGTGTCTTTGATTGTTGTTACATCCACGCATTCGCCCCGCTTTCCCATCGTGCTGCGGCTTGCACTGGGAGTGACGGACCATTTTCTGAGAAATTCTCAATGTGACGAAGGATAACCGAGCGGAGACGCAGACCGACGCGATAAGAACAATACAGGAGACTTTATTGTTCCAATGCATAGAAGTCGATTGTTGTCCCAACAATGCTGAAGGCATTCCGGTGCCATTTTTCTTACCTTTAAAACGCCCGTAGAATTGGTCTAGTACACGTTTGATACGTTAGGTTTATACTATTGAAAGAAATACCAATAATCATGAATTATTGCTTTGAAAATAAGCAAAAGTGAATTCAATAATGTATATAATTGTCGCGTAAACTAAGTATCGATGGAACAGTGTAGAATACGTTTCATAATTAATATAAAGTACCGATTTTAAAGAATATTCGAAGGAAATTCTGACTCAAGTGAAATGCTAAATGACATTCGACGTCTATGCACAAATTTTTCGATTTCAATTCAATCAACACTCTTTATCACTGGTCTTCTTGCTGTTCTCTTTTATATTGTCAGAAGTTTCTCTCTCATCGTTGCTGAACTGTCCATTGTTCTTCGTCACTGAAACGTCCCGCGAACGTTGCTCAATGGCCATTTTCACGAGACACAGGTGTTTCGCGGCCCTGCCACGCATCCTGCGAAAGCGAAACGGGAATTGGCCATGGTACCAATCGGCTTGAGGTAGACCACGGTTAGACCGCATGGTTTCGAGCATGCCCAGCCGGACGACGACGTCACCAATGACAGCGACGGCAGCCGGCGAGCATCGACTACAGCATTTTCGTGTTCTACGTTTGTCCAGTTCGCTCACGCGCCTTTCGAAAGATCTTCCAATAATAGTGGACTGATAGTTCGTGCAATCTTCGAAAGGATTGATTTCACTCGAAATTCCAGGCAATCTTCGATTTAGTGCACGGTGCACAGACTGGTCGCCATTTTGGTACACCATAGAGACGTGATTGCTCGAGGAAATAATGAAAGCTCGGTAGATATTTTTGTTTAATACATTTGCTATTCCCACATTCTATTAATTATTACTTATTTACTTTTTTTAATTGGACATTAAAGAATATAAAGAAACTATTGGAAATTGAAATTATGATAACTATACGTATACGATGCTCTTTCATAAGATTTTGGAGCGTCATATAGATGTGAGGCTTATAGCAAACGTATTAAAAAATATATTTTGTGTAAAAGATGTATAAACACATATGTATGCAGAGTCGAATTCGAGGAACCGTATGATTAAAACCCTGAGACAATCTTGAAGTTTATATTTTCACAGAAAGTATAAAGTGTACTAATTGTTAAGCACTCTTTTATACAATTATTTACGTTAGTAAAGTTTGCAAATGTACACTTGTGAATATGAAGATTCAAGGTCGTTTCAAGGTCAAAATGTTACAGATCTTTGGATTTGCCTCTGCATAAGTTACATGAATATATTTTGTTTCGTTCAAAGTCAATTTTCGGAATTTTTCGTGGTGAAGCTTTCACTATGGGGTAAAATGAACGAAGGTGGTTATTTTCTGATTATTAAAGAAATTCAATATCGGCAAATGGATCTTTCGAAGACGCGCGAGCGCGACCATGTAACACGGTAGAGTTGTGAGTTCTGCAATCACGTATTTACCAGGAGTGTGTTCACCCGTAGAAAGAAGCGACTCCGAGTGCATGGTTTGTAGCACCTTCGGTATAGTGTGTTGAAAGTCACGACAGAGGAACGTCTCCAACTACTTTCAACATAAAGCTTTCCTAATTCGAACTATTTCTATAATCAGTCCTTCTATATATTTCGATACTTAGCACAATTTTCTCGACTATTTGAAATATAAAAAAACGAGTACACATTCCTCTGTCAGTCGACATTCAAGTCGCCGTGCAGCCGACACCTTGCATGACACTTGCATGGATACTAGTAACTCTGCGACAAATAGAGAGCTCCATGTCCGTAGCCGTTGCTTCCAGAAGAAACAGTATTCTGCAAATAATACAAAAAAACAAGAAACTACAAGAAATTCACATTCCTGAAACTCGATTATCCATTGAACGTCTAGTTACTTTGGCTCCATTTCTAAACACTTCAGAAAAATTATTCTCTAGATCGAAAATCTTTGAGCTTCGAAAGTGATCCAAGTGAAGAAAATTCGATTGAAAGTTTGAAACTCAAAGAGGAAGTCTGTTTCTAAATCGAGGCTCGGTTCGAAAAAATGAAAAAATGATGATACAATAACCCGAACACGAAACCTTCCACCCCCGACGAATGCAACGCGAGGCAGATCTAATTTGCCAAAGCACAACGTGGGCCTTTAGCTTCGTACGTGCCACGCCAATTCGCCTATTGACGGTCCTGGACCGATGTATTTCCTTAGCTTTTAGGCACGCAGAAACGAGGAACTCGATCATAGAGAAAAGCGACGAAGACACGCGTCGAGTGACTCGTCGCAAACGAGCTTTGACGCGCGATTGACTTCGAGAGGATTGTACTGGCTGGCACGGCCAAGCTGAACGCGCATGTCCTCACAGAGAGGCTTCGCTGAGCGAAGCTTCTTGCCAAACAAGCGTCGGTGCTTTGCGATGATAAAGCTAAGCTAACCGGTGTTTCTCTGGCAAGCCATGCGGCTCGTGTCGTGTCATTTGTTCATTGTCGCACGCGCGGCTGCGAGGCTAACCTTTCTTAAACCAAATTTTTCGTTTTCTTGCCCCAAACCTCCTCTCCCTTTTTAGACCTCTAGTTTCTGTTGTCGATCGACGAGTCCACCGATGTCTGCTGATACTTTTGGTGAACGAAATTGTTCATGGAATATCGATGTTTGTCGAATAGTCACTGTCTGATCTAGAGGATTTAATTGTTTGAGAGTAATTGGAAATGATCTGGTAGTAGTATCCTTGAAGACACTTATTGTCCGATCTCTGGAGATATTCAATGTTAGGATTCTTCTTATATTAGTTGATCTGCTGATATTTTCAGTGAACGAAATTATAATTCAATATCGATGATCGTCGAATAGTCACTGCTTCGTCTAGAGAATTTAATTTCTTGAGAGTAATTGGAAGTGTTTTGAAAATTGAATCCTTGAAGACAGTCATTAGAAATGTTTTGATATTAGTTAGTTTGCTTATATTTTCAGTGAACAAAATTATAATTCAATATCGATGACGATTGAGTAGTCACTGTCTCGTCCAGAGGAATTGATTTCTTGAGAGTAATTGGACATGATCTAAAAATGGAAACTTGAAGACTCTTAATGTTGAGATGTCCTTAATCTGGAGCTGTCCAATATTGGAATTCTTCTTATATTATTATAGTTGATCTTCTGATATTTTCAGTGAATCAGATTATAATGGAATATCGCTGACCGTCGAATAGTCACTGTTTCGTCTAGAGAATTTCATTTCTTGAGAGTAATTGGAAGTGTTTTGAAAATAGAATCCTTGAAGACAGTCATTAGAAATGTTTTCATATTAGTTAGTTTGCTGATATTTTCAGTGAATGAAATTATAATTCAATATCGATGATCATTGAGTAGTCACTGTCTCGTCCAGAGGAGTTGATTTCTTGAGAGTAATTGGACATGATCTAAAAGTAGAAACTTGAAGACTCTTAATGTTTGAT